ATACACTGAGGCAAAGCAGACTGTAGTGTAAGTTATCTTTATAGAAAAAGCAGGCTTTCAAGATATTTCTGTGCTCTTAATGTCTAAGTCCTATTTGGTTGCAATAACGTACGACTTCTTAGCAGAACTGTCAGGACTTGTGCTCATTGTCTTGGGCAATAACGTAGCTGGTAAACCGTTGTAAACTTAATGGAACTTTCTTAGTGAAAAAGTTTAAAAATTAAAGTTATTGATAACCTCAAGGTGAAATAGGGCTTAACAACCTGCTACATGTCATAGAGTAAAGTTATCGAATAGTTGCATACTCTCTGCTTCAGTAGTTTCAGTGACCATTCTAGAAAAGTGGTCTACTAATTCTCACAAAGTTGTAAATTTGTTCCTATTTGAGCTAGTGGAGTGCCGTGATTATTATGGATTGAAAACCTCAAAGTAAGCTGAGGAACACAAGTCCAAAGGAGCAAGAAAAGTAACCCACTTAGCAGTCAAACACGATATGCAGAGTTTAGATCCGCAACTAGTGCAAACTTTGCTGGTTGGGCTGTGATTTTTGCGTCGGCAGCTTTTGGAGATTTCGTTCGAGCTCATTTTGCTGCTCAAGCATTGTATGCTATAATAGACAACTGCGACAAAGTCAAAGGAGGCGAAATACCAGTAAGTGTATATGTTATGTAGAAAATTTATTTTCACTACACTGTACGCTAATCCTTATAAATCCGTTTCTGTTTTAGAGTCAGCGTTTTTTTCAGAAGATTGAAGGATCAGTAAAAGTTGAAAAGGTCAACTTTAGCTATCCATCGCGACCTGACGTGAAGGTTAGTTTTCTAGAACTGTGACTAAGTTTAATTATATTAAAACGTGATTGAGTTTATAGGTTGCTCGAAATCTGAATATGATAGCTCGCACCGGTCAAGCAATCGCCCTTGTTGGTGCATCAGGATGTGGGAAAAGTACAGTGATACAACTTCTGGAACGATTCTACGAACCAGACAGTGGAAACATTGTAAGTCTGATGCTCTACAACTACATTTAGAATCTTTTACATATCGTCAATTTAGAAACTTGATGATTACAACTTGGATCAAATTTGTAGAGTTCATCTTCGAAATAACATCGCTTTAGTTGGGCAGGAACCTATTTTATTCAAAGGTAAATTCCTTTCGCATATGGAAATCATTTTTAAAAGTCCTCATGCAAGTTTACAGGCTCTATCTTCGAAAATGTCACTCTTGGAGTGGAGAACGTTGGCATCGCAGAAGTCCAAGAAGCATGCAGGCAAGCAAATGCCGCAAAGTTCATTGAAGCCTTCCCTGAGGTATGAAGGAAGCTGACACCTAAAAAAGCGAAACGTTCTATAAAATGGTTGTTAAGAGATATGATACTGACGTAGGAGAAAAAGGTGGGAACTTGTCAGGAGGACAGAAGCAGCG